CACATATATCACCCCATTATCTCAAATAACTCTCAATCTCAAACTTATCTCATTTACCTCTTAATATTCTCAAATACCAATTAATATTAATTACACCATTAAAGCCTTTCTTTAGAAAAAATATTTTGCCTAAATGTTTTTACCTATCAAATACTTTTAATTGATTTTTTATAAAATAAAGGACCAGATCATACATAATGGTCCAAAATTATTAATTTTTAATAAAAAAAATTAAATTTTCGCTCTTTAAACATTTATCCCTCTCAGATAAATTTTAAATTTAGTCTTTTAGTTTGTGAAACATTTTTTCAATTCACACCATTCTCAAAATATCACTTTTCATAAAATTTATTTCTTACGTTATTTTACTAAAAATTATTTTTAATTAATTTCTTTCGAAAAGATATTTTTAGTAATTTAAAAATGAATTATAAAAGGACATGTATTCATAAATTAGTTGAAATAATACCAGAATTGGGATTCTAACACTTCACAGATATAATTACAAAAGCTATTTTTGCAGTCTGAATTAATTTAATAGTAAAGATTTGAGATTGATAAATAATATACTAATATTACATAGGCAACCATTATTCTGAATTATTAATATATTTAAAAAATATAAAAATGATGATTTTCTTCTTAATTATTTAGTAGATACCCATCTATAATTCTTAGAAACATGTCGCTTTATACCCAACAGTAGGAGAATACTTTGAATACGTTCTAGATGATGTTCTATACTACCTATAAAAGACTATAAAAACACGCCAGGTAGAATCTATAAAATGCTAAATGAGTTCTCAAATACCAAATGTGAAATTAATCAATTAATGGGAAGAAGTTTATGTAGCAAAAGGAAATTGTAAATATTATCAATGTCATTATAGAATTTAAGTCAGTATCAACAAATTAGACTCATTTTGCTACGCTTTCAAAATAAAATGAAGTTACTTTATACGAATGGAAGAATTAAGTACTCTAATAAATTGGATAGTCTTAACTAATCGAATCTTCATTTATTTGTTTTAGCATAAATTTGTCTTTAGAGTTTGAAATTTTACTTGATTGTGATTAGGATAAATAATTTTGTTTAATGAGAATACTAGATGCAAATATGGATATAGGTTTTTAATCTTAATGATA